GCCAGTGTCAGCCTATGGTAATAGAACAAAAGAACCACTCAAAAAAAAAAAAAAAAAAAAAATAGGATCAAAAACCACAGTAACATCCTTGCAGGGACGCTTCCAAAAGCACGACTACTGCTCTAGCCAGTGTCAGCCTATGGTAATAGAACAAAAGAAGAGGAACAGCATAAAAAAGAAAGTTTAAAAAGGAAGTGAAGCAAAGAATCACTGTGGAATTGGTAGAAAATAAAGATGTGAGCCTCCTTTTTCTTCTGAGGATTAGCAAGGGAAAAAGAAAAACATTTCTGGTTTTCCATGCTGGTAAGAAGCCACACCCAAGAGTCACCATCCACATACTGCAAGCACACAGAGCCTTTGACACATTCTGCAGGAGACCAGTGTGTCTGTCAGTGCACACTCTGTGTGCTCATTATATGGTGAGCTCATACAAAGATGTAAATTGAGATAACGCAAAATTTGTAGGAAACGAAAAATTTTTGTTATCTGATGTGTGATTGCCTACATGTAAGAATAGATGTTAGTCTATGAAACCTGACTGAAGAAAAGCGGATAAAAAGAAATCCTAGCCATTGTCCTCTCCTACCCCAATGCCAGGAACAGGAGGAGTGCGCAGATCTCTGAGCATGGTGAAAATGACTGCTGGGAAAGTCATTTAAATATCTATTTTTCTCTTTCCCCCACTTCCTCTCCTGTCCTCTTTAACTCAGTAACTCCTTCCTTTTGAGTAAGTTCATTCCCTTTTACCAGTGTCTATTGTACCTTTCAGATGCCATTTTTCTCTTTCAGGTTCTCACACTATGTAAGCAGGATGGTATGGACAACTGTACTGTGCATTTCTGCTGTTCAATGGAAGAAAGCAGTTAATTCTTTAATTTGTTTCATCTCCTTTTTTTTTAAATGTATTTAGTACAATGTCTTCAGGGTCTCACTACACAGATGGGCCTCCTGTTTTGAGCTTTCCAATTGCTGGGATTACAAGTATGCGCCACCATGCCCAGTCTCAATCACTGTCTCAGCAGCCTCCTAGGGGCGGGGCTGGCATGGCAAGCAGGGCATTGAAACCCAGTCCCTGTGTTTACCTAAGTAGGTGCTTTAATCCACTGAGCTATCTGGCCAGCCCTCCTTTTTTTTCAATTGTTTCTCCTTTTTATCTTCTTAATTTCTTACATATTTCTTTCTTTTCTTCTTGCAATTTTACATGCATATATCTGGTAATATGAATAACTGGTTGAAAGACAACACTATGTATTACAACAAATACTGTGAAATTCATATTACTTTGTTAAGTGAAAATCTGTATCATTTGTAATTGTGTTTTAATTCTAATTTGTACTCTTTTAAAAATATTTTTTAAACAGACTCTGCTTTACATGTTTATAAATATGTACATTTCTTCAACATACAAATATGCTTAATATTTAAATAGAGATAACACTACTACTCAAAATAGTAGATATTTTGTTAATAATAAACACCGATGGGGCTGGTGAGATGGCTCAGTGGTCTAAAGCACCTACCTGGAACAAGCTTGGCAAACACAGGGACCGCGGTTCAATCCCCCAGCACCACATGCCAGCCAGCCCTGCCCCCTGGTGGGCTGAGCTGGCCACACACACACACACACACACACACACACACACACAAATAAATAAATAAAATTAAAAAAAATAATAAACACCGAGTAAAACTTTAAACTTCCCATAATCCAAACCTTTCTTCAAGGATCCTTTAGAGAAGTTTTACTAGTCAACTCTTGAAAAAGCATTGAAACAACTGAAAATCCTTTCAGGCAATCCTTTTGCTCCAGCCAGTTATATTCTATAATTCATAGGGGAATATCATCAACCTGTGGTTCTGTCTTAGGACATCTTACTGTAGGAACTAGGAGATGGATCCAGAACACACACTGAAAATGATCCCTGCCATAGCCATGTTCTCGGAATGAGCAGCTGCATAACCAAGCATCATGATGCCAGGCAGCACTGTGCTCCTTTTACAGGACCCAATGCAGTCAGCCACTGTGGCCGCCCCTCCTGTGTTAACAATCAGCTGTGAAGACTAAGAGGCAAGAACAAGAGCTAACTAATCCGAAGAGGAAACATAAGATGATCTTTCATGTGGCCTAAAATCAACTGGTAAAATTGAAACATTATTTAAGGAAATTGTTATATTTATTAAAGGAATATAAAAATGTAATCTGCCATTTCAAATACATAAGTGCATTCACTGTGAGAGGCTTCAGTTACTCTGTGGTTCAATCTTTCATGCATCAATGGCACAACTTGTTTATCCCTGATATAATGAATGTCAAAATTCCTTACCTAGACAGGAAGCCTAGGGCTAGTTCATAACTGGCTAACCGCCGAAAATGCCAATCACAGTGCATGAGTATGAGGCAGATTTTAATCACTGAGTGTCGAAAAACAATGGCCAAACTAGAAATATGCTAACCTAATTATCTTTTTGCTGGCAATGATAACTAGCTGAGTGCACTGTCACTTGGAAAAACCTGAACAAAATAAAGATATTAGAAAAAAATAAGGATTTTAACACAGGATAAAATAAAATTGATTAGTCTAAATATATATCAAGAAAAGCTTCCAAATCAGCACTCGCTTGCTTTGTCTCTCTCACCTAAGAATTCAGAACAGGAAATCACTGCGTAAGATGAGCTACTAGAGTGGTCATCCTAGGCCAGGGATCTCAGTGTCTGTCTCAGCCTGGAGGTATAATATTCCTTCTACTCCCGGCTGACATAAAATGATAAGGAGTACAGAGGTCCACAGGCCTCACAACCTAGAAATGGAAAGCAGGAAATAATTGAAAATCGAGATTTTCACTCAAACTCCATTAATATAACCCAGTGGTCCTCAATTGGGGGGCATTTTGCCCACTAAGGAACATCTGCAATGCATGGAGACGCTTTTGATTATCACCTCCTGGAGGAGCGGTGCTATGGCATCCAGCAAGCAGGAATGGTGCTGAAGGACAATAATGCTGCAGTGTGCAAACAGCTCCCTACACAATCACCTAATCCCTAATGTTGTTACTACTGAGGGTGAGAAAGCCCTGACCTCACCAGATCCTGTAGCAAAACCCTGCAGCCCCCAAGCAAACTGATGTTTTATTTACAGACTAAGACTACATATTATTGTATCTTAAAGCTTTTTAAAAATCTTTTTCATTTTGGATGTATGTTTTGCAATCTCACCGAAGTGTAAACAGTCTTCTTCATATTTTCATCTTTGCCCTTCAGACAGGTAAATATAACTGAAAAAACTTCCATTTCAACAACCACTTCTGCCAAATCCACAGAATGTTTTGCAATCTGGTGGAGAGCAGAAAGGACCTGATGCAGTTAAGCAAAAACAAAATAAAGCATCGCTATGTAGAATCCACTGGCTCACCACAGAGTTCAGACATAATTTAAACAGCTTTATACTTAAAAACCTCCTTTATAAAAAGGAAAAATTAGATATCTAACAGAACATTGCCAAGATTTTAGGTTTTCATATTCCTAGTCTTATTCTCATTTTTTAAAAAATACTCTAACTTCCAAATTAGTTCTATTTTAAAACTACTGCAGATGATTAAATAATCTAACCACTGGGTGAACACTATTTCTTAATTGTGTGATACTTTATAATGCATGTTGTAATTCAGTACAAAAATGATTAACAGAACATTTATTTTTAGCATATTGACACCATTTCAAAGAACTTGCCCATTGCTCAGTTAACATTAACAATTTTATAATGCTAGAGAATATAACTGTTAGAACACAAAAGCAGAATTGTAAGACCAGTTCTCTAAGAAACTTGAATATAATGGTGGGCTAGAAAATTTTTAGTTCCTTTTCAACCATAAGATTTGATTCCTTATTTTAATTGTTGATATTAATATTGATGCTACCTTTAATTTTCAACATTGCACATAATTTTCCAAACTATATCTTCACTGTCTAATTTTTATGGCATTATTTTCATATATTAAAAGATCATGATATGTTTGTGTGTTTCAATGATGATTTATTATTTTTAGCTATATAATATGAATTTGTACACATTTCCACTTTGTTAGATTGTAAGAAGGCTGATCTGTTTGCCACTTAACCATACTGTAAAATAACTTTAGAGCTGAGGATCATCTGGGCTAAATGAGCAATAGCTCCTGTGTCCACTATTGTCTGTGCTAACTCTGCAGAATGCTTTGAAATATCACTGAGGACTGAAGCAGCAATCCTTCTCAGAGCAATTTCTGACTCCTGGATACAGAGTACTAAAAAAGGAATAGCTCCTACATCCACCACAGCTTGTGACAGTTGTGTGGGTCCAAGAAAAGTAATTAAGTGAGTATGGGTGACTGACCCTTGTGCAAGCCATTTTTCACCCTGACAGATACAGCAAAGAAAAAAGGGGAGGGCGTACTTCACTCTCTCGACATCTGCATTTTAAATCAGTCTTCCTGGTTTCATAAACCATGTGGACCAATCCTGAGCTGAAAAGAACACAGGTCAATAGATGGACCTCCATTTACATGAACACATTTGAGGTAGATTAGGCTGAAATGGCTTGTTATTCTTTTTTTTTTTTTTTTTTTAAGGGAGTAAGCAGATGTCAGCTGTTTAAGCTCTGACAATTCTGTACTTCTCAATAGGCAAGAATTTTATGCATGGCTTACAATAACAGAGAAAATGAAAGTACCAAAAATTTACCAACCACACTAATTAGGCAGTATTTTGTGTTATTTACATGAGTAAACATTAACATGAATCTTGTGCCAATAATGTTGATTTTTAAATTCCTTTAATCTTGTAACACTTTTAAGAGATTTTTAAAAATACTTTATACAAAACCAAAAGCTGGGTTTTCAATGTGCATTTAAATAACTTTCCAAAATAATGTTCGCAACTGAGCAACATACTTTTATATATAAATGTTAATATTTAAATAAAGAAATTTATATCAACTACATTCCATGTTGGAAATGTCTTTTGAGCACACATATTGATTTCCTTATGTGCCCAAGAATGACAGCTACAAAAATAATACTTTTTTAATGTAGTATAGGATCTACAGGGTCTCAATATGCAGATCGGACTCAGAGTGATCCTCCTGTTTTCAGCCTCCCAAGCACTGGGATTACAGGCACATGCCACCATGCCCAATCTCAATTGCTGTCTCAGCGTACCCCAGGGGCTGGACCAGCATCACACACCAGGGATCAAACCCTGGTGCCTGCAGAAACTTTAGTCCACTGAGCTATCTGGCTAACCCTTACATTTTACATTATAGAGCATGAGATATAGGCAGACAGGCAGGCCCATATGATGTATATGTAAAAAAAAAAAGTCTAATAAGAACAGAACACCATGCAAGTTATAGATTTTATGCTTCCTGCATCCCTGGCCACTCTTACTGTGACATATATATCCATTTCCATAATCTTTTCTATATTATGTCCCTCTTTCCCAGATTTGAAAGAAAGGATACCTTAGCCACAGATAAATGTTTTGTCAAGCTAAGCCAGCTATTTATGCCACTTTAAAAAAATTTTTTTTAATTTATTTTATTCGGTACAGGGTCTCACTCTGCAGCTCAGCCTCATAGTGATCGTCCTGTTTCAGCCTCCCCAGTGCTGGGATTACAGGTGTGTGCCACCATGCCTGGTTTCGGTTCCCTGCTTGGTGGGGCCCAGGCCAGGGCCGGCGCAGCAAGTGGTACTAGAGATCGAATCTAGATCCTTGAGCTTGCCAGGCAGGCGCTTAGACCACTGAGCTATCTCTGCGGCCCCTACATGTCACTTTAAAAGCCTTTAATTCAAACAAATACAAATGTTTAATTTTTCAAGATTAGCAATATCACATTTTCTATAAGAAAATGGCATTAGCAAATGCAAGTTAGTGTTCATGATGTTTTCCTCAAATTATTGTAATTATCTTAGAAATTGCAATACTGTATGAACAACTTTTTTATTCATTCATTAAACAAGTATTAATGGAACATTGGTACGTGACAGGTTCACTCAGTGCTGTTGCCAATGACACACTTCTGAAAGTCAACACTACATTCATTAGAAAATGCTTTTATGGGCCGGCCATATAGCTCAGCGGATTAAAGCACCTGCAAGCAGCTGCAGGGGCTGGGGTTTGATCCCCAGGCCTGCCGTGATGGCCCCACCCTCCCGGGGCATGCTGAGACAGCAATTGAGATTGGGTGTGGTGATGCACACCTATAATCTCAGCTCTTGGGAGGCTGTAAACAGGTGGAGCACTACAAGTCC